ATGCACTGAGTCATCTCTTACAAGTCACAATAAATCCTTTGTTTATTTATGGCCACTAATCCACTCATTAATTCCTACTCCAGTGAAAGTTTGCACCTTATTACTGAGCTGAACTTATTGACTCTGGCTTCCGCCCCCTGGCTCCCATCCAGCCTGTCCCTGACGGTTCCCGGGAGGGGGCAGTCGCTTCCCGAGACACACGGACAGATCTCGGGAATGGGGTCTTGGAGCGGGAGCAAACAGGGCAGTTGGGCTGGTGGCCAGGGAGGTGGTCGGGGGGATTCGCCCCCAGCCGCGGGGTTGTGGTCCACAGCACTTCCTGGTGTCTCAGGGTCACGCTCCGGGATTCACAGGAACATGACCAGCGAGTCACGATGATTCTCGGGGTGGACCGGGAAGCTCCTCAGGTGTGCCTGGGGAGGGACACCGAGTCCCACGAGGGACACTGAGTCACGGGGCTGAGGTCTGCCAAGGTGTTCACCATGCCGTGGCACTGCCAGCGGACGTGGGAGCAGGGAGGCAGCGACGTGGGGTGCCTGGCTGTGGGAAGGGCTGCGAGGGGGGGGAAGATGGGTAAGGGACGTGATGGGTGCGACAGAGCAGGCAGGGGTTGTGTTGAGGGTGGTGTGAGCTGAGGAGTAGGCTCTCAAGGTGTGTTGGATGTGGCCAGGGTGGGAAGTGGAAGTCCCCGGTCAGGGGAAAAGAGGAGATGGCAATGAGGACAATGAGGGAGAGAAAGAGGGAAGGGGGAAAGTGCAGCTGGGGCAGAGGTGAGAGTGAGGACCATGGGCTGGGGGGTGGGCATGGTCTGTGGTGAGGAGGAGGTTGAGCGGGGCAGCGGGTGCTCAGGTGAGAGCTGCAGAAGGAGCATGGGTTGTGAGCAGAGCTGCTGGCGTTTGGGATGGGGACAGTGAGAAATGGGAATGTCACCAAGTATGGCACACCATGCCCCCATGATGTGCTGGATGCCCCGTGATGGGGGGCTGCTGTGCCCTGGGGGAGCAGGGGGACATGGGAGCAGCAAGCATTGGGGGTGCAGGAGGAATGGGAACTCCATACACTGGGGGATAGAAGGATGGGGGCACCTTGCATTGGGGATGCAGGAAAAAGGAGAGCACCATGCATTACAGGAGGGGTGAGAGCATCGTGCACTGGGGATGTGAGAGGGTTGGGAACACTGTACAGGAGGGGTGGGAGCACCATACATTGGGGGTGCAGGTAGGATGGGATGCAGGTGATGCATGTAGGGAGACTGGGGCTGATGTGGGAGTGCCGTGGCCCGGGGATGTTCTCAGCATGGTGGGGACATCTTACTGTGACCCAGCCCTGGGGCACATCCATGGTCAGAGCGCCGCGGGGTGGCAGGACACAGCCAGGGACCGCACCAGGTCCCCGGGGGCTGCATGTGGCTTGGGCAGCGTGGCCCACTGGCGGGAGGACAGCCCTTCCCGGCCATGCGAGCGGCCATGAATCAGTTACGTGAGCTGCTCCCCCCGTCTGCTGCCTGCTTCGCCAGGCTGATCTCCGGCCAGCTCTGAGCTGTGCCGCGCTGATTTATATCTCAGCCTCTTCTTGCTACCTGGTCATGAGCCATGCGGGCGCTCGGGGCCGGTGCGGATGGTTTAGTGACAGCAGCCCCGGCCGCCATCAATCACAGCAACGCCGGGATTTACGAACTGAGAAGTTGGGCAGGAGCCCAGCAATCCAGGAGAGCTCGTGGTGCTGAGTGGTGTGTGTTAGGGGGCAAAATCCACTTGTCCCCAGACACCAGAGGGCTGGGCTTTAGGGAAGGACTGGACAGTTCAGGGGCCGATGGACTCCAGCCACTTTCAGAGTCTGGGAAAGGAAAACACTGCGTCCTGCGAGCGCGGAGCCATATCCCAGCCCACGGCAGCGCTGATGGGCAAAACCCCACCAGCCACCCCGGCCGGCCAGCTGTCCGACGCCTCCTCAGCCATGGGGAGATGCACCCTCCTGCCTCCACCTCCCCACAGGGTTTCTCTAGGCCACACCTGGCTGTCACCCCACCGGGTTTTCCTGCCCTGCTCGTGGCCCAACTCTGCACCGTGGGACGAGCCATAGGGAACCCCATTTCATCAGGGCAAGTTCTGCATCGTGTGGGGCTCAAGACCCTCATGGGATGTGTGGCAGAGAGCTCAGAGTACCATCGGGGGTCCCTTCCCCGAGCTGTGCCTGCCCTGGGGCGCCCTGAGGAAATTCCCTGGCTCTGGCACCCTCCAGATCATTCCACTACCAAGGAGGACCTGGAGAAGGGAGAGGGTATGGAGATCCTGATGCAGCCCATAACCCTGACCAAGACCAGGGTGACTGTCACCGGGGTTCCCTGGGCCAGAAGCTGCCAAGCTGGCACCATCAAGCATCCGTGCCCCTGCTCAACCCCACGGAACACATCCACCCTATGGCTGGACCTAGGGGATGGAAAACACCCAAGTGCCAGGCTCTGAGCACCTGTGAGTGTGAATATTTGGGGCCAGAGAAGCAAGTGCAAAACCCTGCGGAGCACAGAGCACCCACACAGCCCATGCAGAACACCCCTCCCGCCTGCTCACCATGTCTGAAGGCTATGTGGAGAAGATGGACTCTCAGCTGCTGACGAAAGGGTCAGCTCTGGGGTGTGCTGGGGAGGGGGTGTCTGTTGGCCATCGTGGCATCCAGAACCTGCAGAGCTCTTGTCCTCCGTGGCTGTGTGGGGCAGAGCAGCCCTGGGGCAGGGCGATGCACCAGGGTGCAGGAAGCAGAGGGGAGGCACCTGGGAGGGCTGGCAAAGTGTGAGCTGAAGGTGTTTGATGGGTTCATAAACTGGAGACGGACATGGGTGCCAAGGCAGGGGAGCGGCTGGGCTCAGCTCCTGTGAGCTCCCAGCAGCTGATGCCAGAGCAGGAGCAGGAGGCACAGGGCGCTAACGGGGACGCTCAATACAGCTGAGTCCCATCCCTCACCCCACGACCACAGCCATGGTGGCTGCTGGTGGCCTGGGACACAGGGACACTTGTGTGACCACACTCCCTCCTCTGCAGACCAAACCACTGTGCAGGTCTGAGCACTCTCAAGCTCTCAGCTCAGCGCTGATGGATGTCACCTCAAGCCACCAGGATCTTTTGGGGTACCCACAAAACCACAAGCCTCGTGCATGTGCCTCCCTCCATGCTCTTGTGCTGAAACCATCAGTAATTGCCACTAGGCTCATGTATGGCCACGTGGGCAACCCAGCAAACCCCTGGGGTATGTGCAGCCGTGGCACCGGGCATCCCACGGCTCTGCCCCAATGGAGAGGCTTAGGGACTTCCCTCCAGCATCAGTCTGTCCAGGGAACAGCGTTAGTCCCACCATGAGAGCCAAGGCCATGCCAGGGATGCCCAGTACTGGTCTTTGGAAATGCAAACCCACCTGCCTGCTGCATCAACTGACACCACACGTTACCCAGGAGCCCAGGACTGGCTCGGACGTGAGACCTGCAGGCGGGTCAGGACCAGATTAGGACATTGTTAGAACTGGAAGAGCCCAGCCTCGACATGCCTGGCCCCACAGAGGATCCAAACCCAGCCCAGACCTGGTCTTTCCCATTACCTGTTCCAGCTCAGTGGCAGGTTCAAGGGCAAGGGACCTCCCCCCCAGCTGCCCTTCCACCCCTGCACATCCCTCCTGGTGAGGGAGGGCAGGCGAGGTCATGCCAGAGGTCTGTGAGCCCGGGGTGGCCCCTGCCTTGGGGACATGCATCCCCCCAGCCTCTCCATTAAGGGGTGATGGGGACACCCCACCACAGCGATTGCACTGAGCTGGCCCAGCCCCAGGCGCAGGGTCCCAGCAGGACATGGCCATGCACCCCATGCAGCTGGCACAGCCAGGGCACGATGAGACACACCATCCCCAGGCAGGGGATGAGGACAGCACCCGGATGAACCACACCACAGCAGCAGGACGGTATGTGCCCAATTGGTAGCACGTGTCAGGACAAAGTCCAGCCTCGTCACTGGCACCAGCCACGGGGAAGCTCCAACCTTCCGCAGGAGCTTCAACCTGTCCCCTCTGCTGCCACCCCTTGCAAGAGTCCCCACCATCCCACCGTGCATCCTCAGGGGACAGCCTGGATCCTCCGACATTGGCAGTGGATCCAGCCCAAGCCCTGTCTGGCCGGTGCTGGGTCCAAGCCAGCCCAAGGCCGCCGTGCCACGGGCCGAAGGTGTTTGCACAGCTGTGCGCAGGGCAGCGGAGCGAGCCAGACCTGGGAAGGACATGTTTGGAAAAGCACCGGCTAATTTGGGACTGGATGGGTGCAGGCCAAGGCTCAGGGATGGCGCGACCCAGCTGCAGCCCGGAGGGGCAGCAGAGCCAGGGGCAGGTGATGCTGGCAGCGTACCCTACCGCTGGTTTATCTGGTAAATGAAGGTCAGGCTCTAACTAGTGGTAGAAACCACATTGGGAGTGTGAAAGCTTTTATTAGAGGCCTGGCCACAAGGCAGTCTCTTGGTCACCACAGTGACAAGGAAGGAGGTGCAGAGCTCAGGGGACAGGATCGGACCTGTGCTGGTGGCAGCAAAGGGGACAAAGTGCCCGTGTGTGGTGGCAGGAGCTGTGGAGGGCTGTGGACCCCGTCCAGGAGCCACCCGTGTCCTTGGTGTGGGTGGGGATGACCCCTGCTCTCCTGGGCCCGACCCCTCACCGCCCACCCCAGCCCCACGGGTCCCCTCTGCCATCCACGGGGAACGCTCCGAGGATGTCACCGGGGGGTGACACCGGGGGTGCTGCTCCCCGGGAGCCGGTACGGCGGCCGGGACTGAGCCGTCGGGGGTACCGGGGGTCCCGTGGCGGGCCGTGTCCCGGCGGCGGGGGCCGAGAGCGGGCGGAGGGCTCCCTCTCGAGGTCCCCGGCCAGCACTGCCCGACCCCCAGCCCTCGTGTGACCGCGGGCAGGTCCCCACGGGGGTCCTGGATCCGCAGCAGATGGTTGGACGGGTGGTGACAAGTGGTGTCCCTCAGGAGATGGTACTGGGACCAGTGCTGTTCAGTACCTGCAGCAATGACACCGTCAGCGGGATCCTCAGCAAGTTTGCCGATGACACCAAGCCGAGTGGGGCAGTGACACACCTGAGGGACGGGACGCCAAGCAGAGGGACCTGGACAGGCTGGAGAAGCAGGCCCGTGTGGGAACCTCATGGGGTTCAACCAGCCCAAGTGCAGGGTCCTGGATCACGGCAACCCCTGGTCTCAGCACAGGCTGGGGATGGACAGATGGAGATCAGTCCTGAGGTGAAGGGCTTGGGGGTGTCGGTGGATGAGAAGCTCAACACAACCTGGCAATGTGCACTGGCAGCCCAGAAAGCTCCCCACACCCTGGGCTGCATCCCCAGCAGCATGGCCAGCAGGGCTGGGGGGGATTCTGCCCCTCTGCTCCGCTCTGGGGAGACACCCCTCCGAGTGCTGCCTGTGGGGGGTCCAGCTCTGGGGCCATCAACAGGTCCAGAGGAGGCCATGGAGATGCTGGGAGGGCTGGAAACCCTCTGCTGTGAGGACAGGCTGAGAGAATTGGGGGGTTCAGCCTGGAGAAGAGAAAGCTCAGGGTGAGACCTTAGAGCCCCTTCCAGTTCCTAAAGGGGCTACAAACTTCTTAGCAGGGACTGTTGTGATAGGACAAAGAGTAGTGGCTTTAAACTAAAAGAGGTGAGATTTAGACTAGATGCGAGGAAGAAATTTTTCACAATGACAGTGGTGAGAGCCTGGCCCAGGTTGCCCAGAGAGGTGGTAGATGCCCCATCCCTGGAGGGGTTCAAGGCCAGGTTGGACGGGCTTGGAGCAACCTGGTGTGGTGGGAGGTGCCCCTGCCCAGGGCAGAGGTTTGGACTACGATGGCCTTTAAAGGTCCCTTCCAACCCAAGCTATTCTATGATCCTATGGAGGCCAAGTGGCCACCACTGGGTGTGGTGGCCAGGAGGACACAGAGAAATGGACAAGCATCAGCGAGCTACCCGAGCTGCCCAGCAGGAGGTGATGAGAGCCACCAGAGTGGCCTCGGGGCAGCCATCCCCTCCTTTGGGGGGCTCTCATTTTCTTTCCATCCCTAAGTAGCCGTTGGGTTTGTCTGCTTCACTCCTGGAAAAGCCAGAAGCCAAAGGAAGAGTGACAGCAGTTGAGGATGGTCCTACAAGCCAGAGCTTGTCCCACATCCTCCCCTACGAACACCAAAGGTTGATCTAGCAGAAGACAAGAGTCATTCCCAACGCAGTGGAGACTCACCAAGCAACGAACACATTACCTCCTAAGAAGGCCACCTCCAGTTGGGGTCCTTTCTACCCAAGAGGTAACAAACATCTCTCCTTAATTGAATGGATTTGTTGGTATGTTGGTATGTTACAAATGCTGGCCACCTGGATCAAGGGAGAAGACATTTTACCACTTCCTTGTGCATCGTGTTGGCGCTCAGTGACATTTCCTGTCCCGCTTCCCTTGAGCAACACCCAAACTTGACATAGCCAAAATGTTCTACCTGCTTCACAGCCACTCTCCTGTCCTCTGTCCCCAAGCTCTGCTGCTGCCACACGCCTTGTCCATGGGCACCATGTCCATGGGCAGCTGGAGATGGGTGGACATGTCAGGACATGATGGACCTGCCCCGGTGGTGGGTGCCCTCTTCCCTGGGGGCTGGGATGGCTGCTCAGCATTAGGATGTCACCTTGACACATGGTGGGACAGAATGGGCTCTGGTGGTGGCAGAGGAGCTTTGTCACCACTCGCTCACCGCTGGGTTGTGGGTCCAAACGTCAGAAGAAGATTCAGATGCTGGCATGGAGCTGACAGCGCAGCATCAGGGGCTGGGAAAAGTGGCGGGGCAGGAGGTGTCCTGTCCAGGGAGCAGAGTCACTGTGCACGGGTGACACGAGGGAATACAAAGGCAATGCCTGACCCGTGCCAGGGACAGAGCAGATCTTCACCGTGGTGGGACAGGGCCTGGGGACACTGCAGAGGGAGCAGTGGCCCTGGGACACTCGGTACCCGCTCTCCCAGGACACGTGATGCCTGTCCCCCAGGACACTTATGTCACCATCCCCGGGACACTTGGTCACTCACCCGCTGGGGCAGTGGGTGCTGCCCATGTGGGGCACTTGGTGTCATCCCGCAAGGGCTCTTGGTCACCCCTTGGGGCACTGGGTGTCTCCCCCGGGGCACTCGGTCACCCCTCCGGGGCACTTGGTCGCACCCGGCCCACCCGGTGACCCCCCCCCCTCCGGCGTACTTGGTCGCACCCATCTCGCCGTTCCCCCTCCGAGCGGGAGGGGGGCGGTGGCGGCGCGGGTCCGCCAGAGCCAATGGGACGCTGGGGGCGTGTCCACGGCGGGCGCACGGAGCCAATGGAGCGCTGAGGGCGTACCCAGGGTGGGAGCACAGAGCCAATGGGACGCTGGGGGTCGTGCTCGGGGAGAGCGCACGGAGCCAATGGGGCGCGGGGGGCGTGCTCGGGGAGGGCGCACGGAGCCAATGGGGCGCGGGGGGCGTGCCGGCGGCGGCGCGGCGGGGGATGCGGTTGCCGGCGGCGGTG